AAAGGGGTCAGGGTTAGGTGCGGTCTTTGTAATTTTTTTCAGCCGGATGCATTTATTTATAAAACTCAGAATCAGAAAGGGGGAGACCGAAATAACCTTAAGAAGTCAAGCTGATATCAAATTGCTTCAGAAAATTTCTGAAAAGGAACTTTGAAAGTAACTTTTAAAAACATGTGAAAAAAAACACGTGGTTTCTATTTTCCTAATTAGGTTCTGGCTTTCTTAGCTGTTAGGCCCATGGTTGAGTCTTGAGGGCCCAATTAACGTTCGCTCAGTGGCTTGGCAAACAGAACCCAAACTCTCGCCAGCGCCAGCTGAGCGTCCTCGGCTCAGGCTCCGGACAGCCAGGTTATTATGGGTAATTTATTTATATGAATTTACATTCAGTATTTCTTTTCCCTTGGTATCCCACTTTATAGGGGCCCAAGGATGCTTAGAGACTAGGAGGAAGGGGAAGAAGGCAGATACATACATTAAAATATTTTAAAAATGCAGTTCAGATTGGTAAAATGTAGAAACAAAAAACTGCTCAGCATTTTTAGAAAAATAAAGTTTTGAAGAAGAGAAAACGCAGTATCGCGTGTTAAAAATGCCTTCGTTCGCTGCCCCGTCAGCAGTCAAAATCAGGCCTCCTCTGAGCCAGGAATCTACCCGGATGGCCTCAGCCCAGCCCCACCTTCTCAGCCAAACTTACAACACGAGGGGGTTGTGACGACACCGGGGGGGCGGGGGGGGGAAGCAGGGAAGGCAAAGAAAGGGCTCAGCACCTGTCCGTGGCGGCATCGGTGGATCTGGATCGGCGGCAACAGCAGCAACAGAGGAAAATCAGGAGGAAAAAGAGCAGCGGAGTCAGGATCCCAGCCAGGAGGGCTCCCTGGGTTTGGCCTCCTGGGGGGGGGAGACGGAGCAGGAGAAGAAGATGGGGCGCAGGAAGGAAAGGCCAACTGGTCAAACCCGCCCCCCCCCCCAAGATGCTGCCACCCCAGGCCCACTGTTGGCAGCCTCGAAAGGGGGACCCGTCTCCAGTGGCAGGAGGTGAGGAAGAAGAGTGGAGGGACCGGTCCAGCCTCCACCCCTTCCCCCCACCCCCCGGCTCTGTTCTGTGGGGGGGGAGGAGGGTCGCTTACTCCACTGGCATTCTCCCGAGAGGGGGTGGCATGCTGCCCCCAAACACCGGCAGGTCTCTGAGCAATTGGGGCCGTGGAATCCCTCCGGACAGGTCTGGTTGCAGCTGGAAGGGGAAAGGGAGGGAGGGAGGGAGGATCTGAGCCACCTGGCCGCTCCCCCCTCCCTCCCCAGGGCCTCGGCGGGGACAGCTACGCGGCTGCTCAGCTGCTCCCCACCTTCGATCTCGCCGTACCCACCTGTGGCCCCAGAACCCGGCCTGGCACATGCAAGCCCCAGACACCGGATCGCAGCTCCCGTTGAAGCAGGTGGGGCAGGAGGATCGGCAGCCGAACCCGAAGGAGCCCTCGGGACAGGGCAGCTCACACCTGACACGACAGAGGAGGAGGAAGAAGGGATGGACGGACAGACAGACAGACAGACAGGCAGGCAGGAGGAGATCTGTGTGACTCAGTGGGTGGACATCCCTCCTGAACGCACACCCCTGGCATGTAAGACATCTCACCAGCATCTCCATTTAGGAAGAACTGGGGAGAGGGGGGGGGTCTGTTGGGAAAGACACGCCTCCCTTCCCAAGACCCCCCCCCAAAGCTTTGCTGGCAGTCAAATTGGGGGGTGGGAAGTCTCACCTCCTGTAAAGCCCGTGTCCAATTAAACCAGAGGCCTCTCAGGCGCCCCCTCCCTCTCTCCCCACTTCAGGCACCTGCATACACCCACACACACCCCGCAGTTTGCATGCTCGGCAGAGGGGGTCCTCCCACCTAGCCTCGGTGAGGCCCGCATCGCAGGACTGGCATTCTCCTGTCACTGGGTGGCAAGCCTCCTCTTGCAGGCAGTGGGGGCAGGCCTGGGTGCAGTTCTCCCCATGGCGGCCTGGGGGGCACGGCTGCTGGCAGTGGGTCCCGTTCCAGCCAGGGTCACAGGCCAGGCAGGCGCCGTCCACGGGCGAGCAAGCCTCCGAGTGCCTGCAGTGGCCGCAGCTGTGGAGACAAAAAGAGGGCCAGGCGCAGGACCGTGAGGGCGGAGGGCAGCCCCTGAGAGCGACCGCGAGGCAGCCCCCCCCACCAAACAGCTTAGATGACGTGGGCCCAAATGACAGCCCGCCCCATAGAAATGGGGAGATGGCATCCTCCATCCAGCAAACCCAGATGGTAGCTTGCAGAAGTGTGCAGGCTTTATAGCCACACAGAGCTCTGTGCCACGCACAATGAAAATTTGGCCGCTGGGCAGGGGAAGCACCCTCCCTAAATCTCAGGTAACGCTTCTTGTCTCCTGCCCTCCCTTCCGGGAAGATGCAAGCCCCCCCCCCCTCTGACCAACTTTGCTCCCACCTGACCTTATTTCCGTCTCTCCTTTCCGGGTTACAAGAAGTATGTGGCTGTAAAGAGTAACTCTTTCTGGCCATTACTATATATTCATTAGTTATTCATTTAAAACATCTTTATCCCCTTTTGTCTTAAAAAGAATGCATTTAAGCTACATTTCAAAAGGAATACAATGTTAAGTTATTGTGCTAGCATATCTCATGTTTTATGACTTTTTTTAAATGCAAAAATCCCAAACGTCTCTCCCGAATCAATGAGAAACTCAAGAGCAAAGCACTAAGTAACGTAACAAGTTGCTTCTGAGGCTTTGCAAGCTTGTCTCTCTGCAGAAAAAAGTGGGCTGTTCCCGAATGCAGCCGTGAAAAGGCCCGGGGCAAGTCCTGCCTGCGTCTCGGGGTGCCCGCCGGTGGGGGCTTCTCACCTGTGGAGGCACTGAAGCCCGTAAGTCCCGGCGGGGCAGGGATCCGCGCAGCTCGGCCCCCGGTAGCCGGCATGGCAGGTGCACTCTCCGTGTTGCGGAGCGCAGGATCCGTGCAGGCACTGGCACCGGTGCTGGCAGGCCACCCCCCACAGCCCA